AGACGAGGCTGACCGGACACCGTACTCCCCAGAGTCGGTCGTCCTGAATCAAGAGCGCCCCACCTCCCAGCCTCGTCAGCCTGGAGGCCGCTTCCCAAGTGACGTGCAGATCGACCGCAGCTTGCAGGCCCCACTGTCGCCGTCCAGCGGTGAGAGCTCCGGCGGCGAGAGGGATCTGCTCGCTGCGGCGGGGTCGCTCACGGACAACGGCCCGTTCGGCGGTAGCAGTAGCCGTGTGAGCGATCAACAACCGGGTGGTCCGCCGGGCCACTGGATGGATCACAACCGTCACAGCGACCAGCTCGCCGGGTCAGCTAATAATCCCACTACACAACCCTCCGCCATGATCCCAGGACTCTCATCCTCCGGCCTCGACAGCCCACCACACCGCATCTCCTCCGACAGTAGACGCCCACCATCCATTGCAATGTCAGGCGCAGCCGGAGCATCAAGATCAAGCACCTCCCGCGAGCGCTCATGGGGCCCCCAGCGCACCCGCGGCGAGAGTGCCTCCACAGCACCAACCAGCACCAACGCCACCGACCACACCCACTACACGCACAACACAGTCCCAACCTCCGTCGACGAGAACATGGACGAATACCCCAGCGACGGCAAGCGAGCTCTCCTCGCTTCGCCCCCCATCATCGCTGACTCGTCCTCTGCACACACTACCCCCGTCGACTGGGAACGGTCGACCCCTAAAGCTCTCAGTAATGATGAGTCTCCGCCTCCTGGGAAGGGCAGTGTGTCGGCTGTGGAGTTAAGGATTCCGGGTCACTATCCGCCGACTAATATTCCAGCTTAGTCTTGGTTTGGTCTCACCTGAGAAACCCGGTTGACCCTTTGATATGTATATCTATCTCTCTGGAACGAGGGGTATATACGTGTTTTTCCTATCTCTTTTTCTTTTATTCTGATGTTTTCCTTTTGTTATTTCTTTTGTTACCCCTTCCTTTTGTATATATTGATTGATGTGTCCCGCTGATGTCTGTATGTACATTATCTTCTTCCGATTCTCGTCCTGTTGTGAGGACGGGAATCTCCCCCCCCCCCCCCATTGTTTATGTGCCCGTGCCTTTTTTTTTTTTTTTTTCTTCTCTTTTTTGATTGGTTTTGTTGGTTTGGGAGGACGGACGGTGGATGATATGATGAGGGCGAGAATACCCTTGGGATTGGTTTTCTTTTCTTTTCTTTTCTTCTTTCTCTCTTTTTTCCGTTTACTACTCTGAACAGGCGTCCGGTTCTTCTTCCCGTCTCATTTCTCCCGCGGTTGATTGACGATTGCTTGACTCTACACTGATACGTGAGTCAGTGGGTTAATCAGGCAGTCAGTCAGTCAACCAATCAGTCTGCCTCCCATCAACCAGTATCAAAGGTTGAGTGAGTGACAGACACACACAAAGAGCGAAGTGAGATGGGACCATCCAATGAAGAACAGAAGAAAGGCGAACCCCGGTGTTTTGGTGATGGTTATGATTTTTTTTCCCTATTTCTTTGTTTTTTTTCTCTTTTCTTTCCTATTTCTTCCCCGACGTTGATCTGTTCCCTTTACTTCATCTGTACTATATTGATCTATCCCCCTTTTTTTCCCCTCCCCTTCCCCCTTTTTCCACTTGATTGATTGATTGGTTGGTTGATTTACTGCTGTTTGTTTGTTTGTTTGTTTTGGCTGATTGACTGATTGATTGATTAACGATAACGCCATGCTATCTATCTACATTGAACTCCTGAACTCCGAACTGAATTGAAATGAAATACAGTATAGTGATTGATTATCTATCTATTTACATATCTACCTATCTGTCTAGACCTCTCGGATTTAGCTTACATCCTCTGATGTACTTATCTGTCAGATGATACAAAAACACAATATGGATGCACATCTCTTTCTTGTAGTCTGAAGACATATACGCATATATGTCTGGGACAAATGTGTATGCGTACTTTCGTAGTACTCAGGAATATATAAACACAATCATACAGAGTATCAAGTTATCAGGTTCTTTCTACCGTCCACTCAATTCCCGTGTATGTATCATTCAATATTGATGGTATATTGGGATAAGACCGGAAATGTTGGTGAGATGGTGAGATGGTGATGAGTACATGCGACTGAACATACGGATATACTACAACCTGCTGCCTAAAGCAAATCAATCTGAGATGTTCCACTCATGCTCCAACTCAAAGATCAAATTAAGTCCGTCCAACCATGTGAAGTACAGATCGATCAGACGGCTGGACTGTCCGTCGGGGCGAGACACGAACCCGAAAAAAATCAGGCCGCCAGAAACGAAGGGGAGAGGAAACCAGATCGAGAAAAAGATAAAAACGAAACAGAAAACACCAATATCAGATCATCCGGGGCCCAGGACGGGAAAACAAACATAAAGAAACAGCAAAAACAGGGACCGCTTTTCGTGACATCCCCGCCGTTTCGACAGAGGACACGAGAAAAGAGACAACGACGTCGGGTATATTACATGATCTGATCCTGGGTGAGTCCGGTGGGCTCGGCCCCGTCCATCGGGTCCCCGGGTCCCGCGACCATGTTCATGTACTTGACGAATGTGATGCCCAGGGGGCGGCCGCCGTACTGATAGCCGGTGAATTTGGCTGCGAAATGGGTTAGCCATCTTTCCATATCCCCGGCATATATTCTTGAACCTACAGATCGCGGTCTCCGCCGTGTCGGCGCTGTCGAACTGGACCACACCCGTGCCACGCGAGCGGCCGTTGGGCTCGTACTGGATCTCCGCCCGATCCACCTTGCCGATGGTCGAGAACAGGTCCACCAGGTCCTCGTTGCAGGTGGACCAGGGCAACTATCATCCGGTCAGCACACGGTCCCACCCTTCTATCCAACGGCGCCATCACTCACATTCCGCACGTAGATAACGGGGCTCTTCTCCCCACCCGAGGTCGCAAAGTCCGTGAACGGGTTGGGGGGCGCCGGAGCCATACCGCCGCCCTCGAAGCCGGGCGCACCGAAGCCGCCACCGGGGGGAGGAGCACCGAAGCCGCCGCGACCGGGGAAGCCACCAAAGGCCCCACGACCACCGCCAAAGCCGCCGCGACCGGGGAAGCCGCCGCCGAAGGCCCCGCGACCACCGCCGCCAAAAGCCCCACGACCACCACCGCCGAAGCCGGGTCCGGCACCGGCAAAGCGATCCTCCCGGACCTCCAGGGTGCGGCCCTGCCAGTCGTAGCCGTTGAACTGCTGGATAGCATTACGCGCGTCGTCGGGGGACTCGAACGCGACGATTCCGGAGCCCTTGGGGCGGCCCGTAGCGTCGGTGTGCACATCGGCGCGGATCACGGCACCTTGCTGAGCTGTTGTCCAGAAACGGAGGTCAATATCAGAACCATTGGGAGAGGGGAACGGAGACGACCGGGGGGAAGGGGAGATCGCTCGGCGCGAGGATGCCAATCGCATCATCCGGGACCACTTACCGGCCTGGCGGAACAGATCCTTCAAATCTTGCCAGCCAACGTTGAAGGGAAGCTATAATGCCAACGGTTAATACCTCTAGATCCGGTGGGATCCCGGGCAATCGCGGGAAGGGGAGGGGAGTGGGGGACCAACGTTGGCCACGTAAAGTTGTCGGCCACCGCCACCGAAGCCCCCGGGCGCGCCGCCGGGGGGCGCACCACCGAAGCCTCCGCCGAAGCCGCCTCCACGGGCGGGACCTCCGCTGAAACGCGGCTCGGGCTCACGATCCTAAGAGAACCGGGTCGGTAAGCTTCCAATCGCGCGCACTGGAGCGCGGGCCAGACGGCGTGGACCTACCTCGCGAACGTAGACGAGTCGGCCCATCAGGTTTTGGTTACTCAGGGAGTTGACCGCATTCTGCGCTTGATCCCTGGTCGCGTATTCCACAATCCTAAGAGACAACCAAGTCAGCGCGATGGTCCCAGGGCACGCGAGATTCAAAGATCACTTACCCGCATCCCTACAATATCCCGGACAACCAGGCCCAACCCGTCAACCCAAACAGTCCAAGCAAACCAACGAAAGGGGTGGGGGAAAAGTTCCAGAAACCAAAGGGAACGGTCAAGAAAAAAAGGAAATGGCAAGCAAGAAAACCAGCCACACTACGCATTGGCGCCCACCTTCGACATTCCATTTGGAAGCAGTAAGACATCGGCAAAGATGACTTCTCCAGCTAAAGTTCGAATCGCGGAGAAAAGAGTCCCCCATCCATGGTCAGTCACGAGATTCCAAGACCAGCAGAGCGAAGAAAACAGAAAACAGAAAGAAAGAAAGAAAGAAGAAAAAAAGTCCATCACACGCCCGGCACGATATGACCCTGCTCACCCTGTCTCATAAAATCTTTCAGATGATGCCATTTGACATCGTAGGAAAGGTTGCCCACATAGACGCGACGGTCTTGTTGGGAGGTATCGCGGACGGTCTGCATCATCTGTTCTTTGGCGACGGCACGATCCTCGAACGATCTGGCGGGGGGCGGGTAGCTGCTGCGGCCACCGTAAACAGAACCGGAGGATTCACCAGCGATGCCGGGGGCGTTACTCAAGGGCGAGCGCGAGCGGCGATCGGATCGACGGTAGTCCTGGCGACTACGGGAGCGACTGCGGGGCGAGTAGGAGCGACGGCTGCGACGAGGGCTGCGCGAACGACGTCGGGGGGAACGAGACCTCTCACGCTGAGCGTGGTCAGTATCGTAGTAATCGGCCGGCATCGGCACGGGACCCTTCAGGGGGGGTAAAGACACGGGTGATAGAGATAAAAAAGGAAAGAAATTGAAACAGAGATCGAGATGGACGCGTCTGAAGGGCGAGGGATGATGGATGGAGTCAATTGAGGATGGATGAGGAGCGGGCGTGAGGTTGGTGAAGCGAAGAGGATGGAGGGATGTCATGTGACCGGGGAAGGGAAGATGACAAAGCACGGTCCAGGCAGCGGATTCAGGCACCCAGCACCCAGCACAAGGACCTGGGGGACAGCCCGACAGGTCCTCTGACAGGGGGTGGGTGATTGAGGATATAAATCGAATGATAAAATATACAAATGAAGATGATTATATGATGATACATATAATGAAATTCATCTGTATCTATAAACAAAGGAATAGATATGGGGAAAAGGATATATATAGACAAGAGGACGGACCAGGCGACCGGGGCAGATGGAGAGGGGAAAGTGGGACCGGCATTCCAGCGCGTGCGATCACCATCACGGTCGTCAGAATCATGACTAGGCTGATATCGGTGGAGATCATGCACATTGACATGAATGGCATAGTGGGAAGAAAGAAAGACAGAAAGAAACAAAGGTAAATGAATTCAATTGAAAATGATAACTTACTGGATACGGACGATAGACGTCGGCTGGATGACGGAGACGGTCAGCCACAGAACCAGACTTGAGAGAGAAGAGATAGAAGGATGCAAGACGAGACCAACAATGGGAAGGAAGAGAAGAAATGAAGGGAAAGCGAGGAGAATATGAAAGAGAAGGAAGAGAACCGGAGGGGGAAGATCAGAGGGAAAAGGGAAAGGGGAAAGGGGAGAAAGGAAGAAGGTAAAAGGTAAAAGGTAAAGGAGGGTAACGGCGGGGAAGAGAGAGAAAAGCAAAAGAAGAATGTCAGACGAGACAACTGGGCAGAGAGGATTAGGGTGTGTTGATTGGTGTTTGCCGTGGACATCCGAGATGCAGTACCTAGTCTAAGGGACTAGGTACATACTTACAGTAGATGGAAGTATCAAAAGGGAGACAGTGTAGAGGAATAGTACCAATGGTGTAGAAGGAAAGAAAAGAATAGGAATGGAAAGAGGGATGGTTGAGGAAGAGGATTATAAATCTTCAAGTCATGGATCCAATAAGATGGGAAGATCTCCTTGAGTTGAACCAGAAGTGATTATGGGGGTTTGACGGGGTAGTTCAATCATTGACATCATCATTGGGGAAATCACCCAAAGAAAGATCAACAAACAAAAAAGAAAGGGAATCGATAGACTTACCCATGGTGGATGGATAGATGAAGATTCCCAATAAATTAGGACAGGAGAATGAGGATGGATTCTCCCGAGGTCACGACCAACAATCAAACAGGATAAAACAGATTCAAAAGAGCCAAGACGGGGGAGAGAGACACCGATGGATAGAAACAGGGAAAGGAGAGGGGAGAAAGGGAGAAGCAAGAAGGAAGAGAGAAGAGGGGAAGAGGAAAGGACAACAAGAAAACAACAGAATTGTATCAATTCCATGCATTGATCAATCAGATCATCCAATTCAATGGATGCATGGACGTGGGGTTATCAGGATGTAATTTCCACGCCAGAGGAACCACTTAAAACATCATCCAGGATAGAGTTGACACGAAGAATGAATCTAATACTATAGTTCCGACAAGGGAATGCTATACCCAGGTATGAGTGTCCATATACTAACAGATCAATCTCAATTCAAATCACCCCACAGTTCCTTCAGTCATGACATATATAAAGTATACTCAGTCAGAGATCGTCTCCATAAATCATCAAATCAAGTAATGAAGTATACTACCCGTACGGAGTACCATAGTGAGCAGGTGAACTAATAAAGGCGGAAGTGATATATCTTCACGTGACCACGCGGCACCAGGCACGCGTCCGAGATCCATCTTCTCCGTCCTCTCACTCGCCCTCACCATGATCCACACTCCAACACCCACCCTGTCATACTAAGAAAGAAGACGAAAGGAACTGGAAAGAATCAAGAAGAAATAAGACAGAGGAAATCCCCCAAAATGGGCTCCGACGAAATCTCCGACTTCGAAAAGCAGCGTCTCGCCAACATCGCCGAACGCGATGCCCTCCTCAAGAAACTCTCCCTGGGGGCCAAATCCTCCAGCCTACTCCCTCCAAAAATACCCCGTGCATCCACCGGTGGCAGTAGCAGCAGCAGCGCCCGGAAGAAGGCCGCACCCCCCAAAGTGAAAAAGGAGGAGCCCGCCCTGCCCCGGCGCACCTCGTCGCGACTGAGGGGCATCGCTGCCGAGAGTGAGGTCGCTAAGCGGCGCGCGGACGACGCATTTGAGGCGCATCAGCAGCAGGAGCGCGAGAAGCGATTGCGCAAGTCGGATGCGTTCTCCTTCAACGAGATGGTCGTTGCGGGCCAGAAGTTGAGTGGGGATGCTCTCATCGGCGTGGATGTCATCTCCAAGGGCGTCGCTATGCCGTATCAGCGGACCTTTGGGGACGAGGAGATCGAAAAGACAACGGATAAGGATCTCCGGAAGTTGAGGGAGGAGATGAGTGGGTTGGAGTTGTGGGAGCCGTGGGAGCCGCAGCGTCAGTCATCCCAATTCTACAAAAGAGAGAGAAGAAACAGAAAGCAAGAAAGAAAGAGAACCATACTGATAATGAACAGGCATCAAGCTCACCCCCGAACGCATCTACACCATGACCTTCCATCCCTCCGAAACCAAACCGCTCATCTTCGCCGGCGACAAAATGGGCCACCTAGGCTTCCTAGACGCCTCCCAAGAGAAGCCCACACCCGTGAAACAAGAAGGCGACGACGACGACGACGAAGAAGACGACGACCCCGACCCCGTCCTAACAACCCTCAAACCGCACACCCGCACCATCAGCTCCATGCACATCCACCCCTCCAAGCCCACCCACCTCTACACAGCCAGCTACGACAGCTCCATCCGCGAGATGGACCTCGAAAAGACCACCTCCGTCGAGAAATACGCCCCCGCATCCACAGCAGACGACGTCCCCCTCTCCGGCCTCGACATGGCCGCCGACGACCCCAGCACCCTCTACTGGACGACCCTAGACGGCACCTTCGGACGCCACGACACGCGCACCCCCTCTTCCTCCTCCACCGCCCCCTCCACCTGGCAACTATCGGAGAAGAAAATTGGCGGCTTCTCGCTACACCCCACGCAGCCGCACTTCGTCGCAACGGCCAGTCTCGACCGCACGATGCGTCTCTGGGACCTGCGCAAGCTGTCGCACTCGGACCCGACCCCCGTCGCAGAACACCACAGCCGGCTGTCCGTCTCGCACGCGGCTTTCAACGCAGCAGGCCACGTCGCTACCTCTTCCTACGACGACACCCTCAAGATCTACGACTTCGCCGCCCGCGGCCTCCCATCCTGGTCCGCAGGACATGCTCTCCCCGAAGACGAGACCAAGCCTGATACCGTCGTGCGACATAACTGCCAAACAGGCCGTTGGGTTACAATGTATGTTTCCCCTTTCCCCTCCCTCCTTTCCCTCCCTCCTTTCCCTCCCTCCTCCAACCAACCAACCTCCCTCATAACATACCCAACAATCCCCTCATCTCCAAACATATATATAATAACACTAATAATCAATAATGTAGCCTCCGCCCCCAATGGCAACTCAACCCGCAATCCCCCATCCAGCGCTTCTGCATCGGCAACATGAACCGCTTCGTCGACATCTACAGCAGCTCTGGCGACCAGCTAGCCCAGCTCGGCGGGGACGGCATCACCGCCGTGCCAGCCGTGGCTGTCTTCCACCGGAGTAAGAATTGGGTGGCGGGGGGCACGGCGAGTGGGAAGCTTTGTTTGTGGATGTAACTTACCATCATCCCACCGCCTCTTTTGACCATCTGTATTCTATTTGTGTTTGCTTGTTTTATTCGGCTTATATTTGATATGCTTGTTCGTTTACGGTTTCTGTTTTGTGTTCTTTTTATATATAGTTTCTAGTTGTTGTTGTTCTCTTTCTCTATGAATGGAATGGAACAGGTAGGGAGACCTGCTTGTACGTCGTGTATACCTCTCGGAAGTACCGTGTACAGAGTAGCAATAAGATAGCATATATAACAATCATAGGTATAAACAATAATAGGTATAAACAATAATAAATATAATATAATAGATAGTATAACCACATCCATCCACCCATTTCAAGACAGGACGGTAAGATTCATAGCATCTATAACATACCCAACCAACCAAACAAAGATCAAGCAAACTATTTACAGACACGCAAAAGAGAACAGCTTGACGACATGATAAATAAGTAGATAGATGAATGATAAATGAATAAAAAGACATCACCACCCAATAAAGAAAGATGATAAATCCATAGATGAATCAAGAAAAAAAGAAAAACCTTCCAAAGCCACATCACACGCTTTCCAGCCATCTGCTCGCGCGAGTCTCTCGCTTTCTATGCAAAACAGAAAAACCAGAGCAGGGTATCAACACCAAGAGAAATGCTTTCCAGGTAGATCAGAGAAAATAGGAGAGATAAATGTGGATATAATAGATGGGGGAGAACGATAGATGAGAGAGAAAAGATGGGAGAACGTGACATAGATAGGAAAGCGCGTTCAATCATGAGCACATGGGCCAAAGGACAATTAGAAAGAAAAGAAGAAAGGAAGAGAAGAGAAGAATGTACACCAAAGATGCGATGCCAGGACTGACATGCCCCTTCGCCCTCCTGTTATACAAAACTTTGTGCGCTATCCACGGTCAAAGATGCATCGTCATCATCATGTAGGACCCGTCTCCTGTATGGCGGCTATTGAGCACCGGTACGCATGGAACGGGTTTCATAAGTCTTCGCGTGATTGTGCCGCCTCCCGCTCCTTGGCTTTGCGCCGGGATGGCGCCGGGACAAAGTCGAAGATCCGGTACTTGCTGGACGTGTCGCGGGACAGGCTGGATCGGCGCGCCTTGGTCGTCTCGTGGTAGTCGAGAGAGTAGGTAGACGAGTTCTTCGAGCTTCCGGTACTATCTCGCGTGTCCGACCACCGCGGAAGGGAGAACGGCACCCGCCCCTGGTCCCAGGTCGCCGACGATGAGCTGGGCGGGGTATCCTCATCGGCTTCGGGGGCGCAGTCCGTCGACCGCCGGGGCAGCGAAGGCCGCGAGGTGAAGAACCCGATCGAGTTGCGGTGACTACCCGCCGCGGCGGTTTCGGCGACGGCGGTCTCGGTGGCGGGCGTGGTAGGCTTCGAGCTATCGTCGTAAAAGGTGGCGGACCGTTCCATCGAGTCGACCAGCTCCTCCCACTTGATCTCTAGGGTGCCATTGGGCCGTTCCGCTTGTTCGGCGCGGCTGAGGCACTCCTTGGTCCGCTGATGGAGACGCGTGGCCAGCTCATTGAACTTCTGGAGGCACCCATCAATACTTTCCAGCTCGGTCAGCCGGTGCGGTGCTACATCAAGCCACAATCGGATCAGAGTGGAGAAGCTCCGGGCGTGATCGATCAAGAATGGAAGGCTCGGGAACCCTTCGCGGGACGTGGGAGGCAGACGACCGAGGATCTGGATGGGCGTGGCGTACGAGGGTGTGACTATCGGCGTCGGTCGATCGGCCGGGATCGCACAGATCGAATCCACGAAAGTTTTGAAATCGGCCCGGTTACCGACCAGAAACCGGTTCATCGGCTCCATCCACGGCTCCTTGCTACCGAACGTGGTCATGTTGGCCAGTCCCTGCAAAGCCTTGGCGATCAGGGTCAAAGTACGTTGGGCGCGAGGACGAGGATGATCTACCGTGAACAACAGTTAGTACAATCTGAAGGGAAGGCGGGAAAGATGGTGACCTACCCTTGAGCAATCCAAAGAGCTTCGGGTTTAAAATTGCCGGACAGAAGAACCGCAGAAAGAGGAACCCAGACACGCTACTGTAAGTGACCGTTCGCAGAAAGTCGCCGTACCGATCCTCTGCACACGCTCGGATATGTCGGAAGATGAGTCGGAGTTCGGGAGGGCATCGAGAGGCGGAGTTCGCGATGGCTTTCCAGATGCTGGTGGTACGAGCGATCAGGGTCCTCCAATTGCGCTCGAGATCATCCGCTTTATGGACGCGAGACGGGTCCACTTCGCACTCCGGGTCACTCTCGTCCACTTCGCGGAGCCGCTCGCCGATCGTTTCCTCTAGATATTCTTTGCCTAGTCGGCGCATGTGGAGGTCGAGCGCTTTGGTGAGGATGGAGTTCCCCCGGAAGAGGAGATTCGCTTCAACCGTCGCCGTGCGGCCCAGATCTCGCACGAGAACCTCCCGCTCTTGGCCGGTCTCCCGGGAATCGTTGGAGTGGATGCGCGTGGTATACCGGAGACGGTTAGCCGTCGACTCCTTGTGCAGCCCGTCGATCTCGTCTTCCACCAATGCTGCGATCCACTCCACCGTCGAGCCCGAGACCTGGAAGATGCTCAGCAGGGCTTCGGCGAGCTGATTCAATTCGGAGGACAGGAGCTGCGCCATCTGGATGGTGAGCCCGTTGGTGAAGGAATGCAGGAGTTCGGACATGGGCGTATATTCGTGTGAGATGAGGACCACCGCCTCCTCCATGCGGACCATCATCAGCATCTCCCCCACGGCCTGGTCCCGCTCGTCCAGGAGCGGCCACCACTTTTCGGTTTTCACCCCGGGCTCCAGATCATCGAGCCGCAGGTCGACTCTCCCGTACGTGGCATCTTGCGAGGACAACGAGATATCGACGTCGTCGACCCCGGTGGCGTTCGCGTCCTGGGATAGGGCGTAGGATCCCAGAGCGGTCAGGGACCAATCCTTCTGGGTCGGGTTGAGCGCCTTGACCAGGATCGAGACCTGGGACAGGACCGGCGGGAGATCGCTGAAGGAGAAGTCCTCGCGCCAGAAGGGGTTCGCCGTCCGGAACTTCACGGCCGTCTTGGCGCGGATCTCGCCGTCCAGGAGGACTTCGGTGTAGTAGTCGTCGACGGCCGAGGTCGTGGTGGACTGGCTTTGGGACCGGGACGCCTTGCGGCTGCGCGGGAGCTCGTCGGTCGCGGTCTTGTACATTTTCGCCTCGGTCACTCCCACGGTTAGCACCCTCTCGATGCGGAACATGTCCGTGGTGGATGCTACCGCGGTGTCGCCGGAGGAGGTCGGGGCCCGGGTAGGGCGGTCTTCAATCGAGTTTTCGGGGCCGTAGAGCTCGGGGATGGAGAAGGCGCGCAGGAGGACAAACCACACTTCGAACAGGACGCGGCTCTCCAGGGCGAGGTAGACGGGCCGCGTCAATCCGGACACGGAGTGGGCGGCGTACTGGGGATAGATGGCAATGCAAAATTCGTCTTCGAGGACGGACGGGTTCAACTGCTGGATGGCGCACCGGGAGAGCTGGGACAGCTGGATGCAGGCCACCAAGGTAATGTCGGACTCGGTGAACAGCTTCAAGACCCCATTCTCCTGCAACGTGCAGCTGACCTTCAGCCACGAGGACGAGAGCGCCCGCTGCTGTCGGTAGGTCGAGACGCGGCGTGCGGAGGTGGGTCGGGCGCCCGACGCACTCGGACGGTCCCAGAGCAGCATTTTGCCCACCTTGATGATGGCCGCCTCTTTGGGGACGGTACTCTCCGAGTTCCGCCGGTGTTCGGCCACGCGACGGTCGCCGATGGCGACCGACTGCGGCTTGGTCATCTTGTTCTGGACGCCCTTGGGGCGGATGGGCTGCCAGCACAGGAGAGCGGCCAGCCACGAGTCGTAGGTTTCGCTGACGTGAGGTTTGAGTTCGACGCCCAGGCCGGAGGTGAAGGTGGAGACGCTGAGATAGTTGGTGCGTTGCTCGGGATCCACGCGGGAGCGAACCTGGCAGCCGCGGAGGTCCGGAATGAGGGTCTTTGCCAGCGCCGGCTCGCCTTTGGCCTGATATATCAAGCTCCCCGTCGCGACGTTGATGGCGCAGTAGCCGGAGGTCCAGGCGGTGGTGTTGGCGGTGCGGAACGACAGGATCCCATGCATCCGGCCGCAGGTGTCCTTCATGAGTTTCAGGATCTTGGAGGCATCGCTGTTGGAGAGGCCGGCGGCGGAGACACTGGCCAGCAAACTCGAGGTCCCGGCGGACTTACTGGGTCGTTGGCGGGTCGATGGCGTTGATGCAAGAACGGACGGATATCCAATGGACGATGTTTGTTGCTCGTCGGGCGTCTTGGACGGGGGTGCGGTGGCGTTGAGAGGAGCGAGGGGATTCCGCGTCCGGTTCAAGAAGGAGCTGGAGGAGATCTCGCTGCGTTGGTCATCCAGGGTGGTGGTCTGGGACCGCGCCCGGAGGCTCCTCGGTTCCATGACGGCCTCGTCCTCGTCCCCCGCGGAATAATAGGAATGAAAGTCGCGATGGTGAGACTCGAGGTCGAGGGGCCTGGTTCGGGGGGTCACACGGGGCGAGGTCGCAGCGGCGCCTGAGGACAGATACTCCGCCTCCGACACGGGCGAATGCGAATGGTGGCCCGCATCGGAGGTGGAGTCCGGCGTCACCGTCCGGATGCCCCTGTCTCTAAAGCTATCCGGGTATACCATGCCATGACGGTCCTTGGAGGAGGACTTTTTGCTCGGTCGCCGTTCCACCGGACGACTGTAGGACCCCTGGTGTACGGAGTTCCGTTTGAACCCATTTGAACCTTCCGACTCCATCTTCTGAGTGTAATTTTAATTTTTATTAAAAAAAGAAAGAAAAGAGAAAAAGAAAATGAAGAAAATTCTTCTTCTCTTCCTCCTTCTTTTTTTTTATTATTTTTTTTTTATCCTTTTTGCTTCCTTTTTTCTTTTGGGTTTCCGCGAACGCGAGGATGGGGCGGGTCGGGCGGTAGCCGCACTCAACGCAGGCTGGGACGGAGAGACGCAACAGGTAGAAGGACGAACGGAGGGACGAGCATGAACTGGTTGAGAAAGAGATGGTAGTCGAACAGATTGATGAAAGGTTTACCTTGCAGCGCGTTGAATACGCAACATGCGCTGCACAACGGTCCTCGAGCAATTGAGGGCCTTGAGTCGTCCAATAATGAGATGGTTGCTAGCTGAACGCATGGAGTCCGGGGAAAGGGAGCAAGGTAGAGTCGCACATTCGGGTCGAATTCGGGCGCGTTGTTGATGAGGAGAGTCGACTGTCGAGATGATGGTGGGTGGTGGTGGGTGGTGGTGGTGGTGGTAGTAGTAGTTGTGGTGATGATGGTGGTACGTGGGTGGGTGGGTGGGTGGGGGGAAGAAGGTGGTGGTAGAAGAAACCACGGATAACGGTAATGTTCGCAAGTATTGGTATTAGGGGGGAAGATGGATGGATGGATGGATGGATTAGTAGTAGTAGTGGAGGTGGTTGTTCGGAAGTTGGTTGGTGTGTGGGTGGGGAGGGGAGTGGACGGGTTTGACGAGACGGATGGGGGCAGTGGATCAAGAGAAAGAAAGAAGGAAGGAAATAGGAATCAGAATAGGAATAGGAATAGAAATCAGAATAGGAATAAGAATAAGAGGATGAAGAGATGGGGAAGTGAACATTCCAAAGAAGGTCCAAGAACCAGGGAAGAACCAGGATATGAATTAATTACCCGTGAGGAGGAATGATCGGGCATATATTCAAAGTAACGCAGTCAATCCAGCGTAAATTGACCCAGAAAATCCTGGAAAGAATGATGAGGGTCATCCTAGTGGGTGAAAATCCCTAATGATGGTCCAGTAAGGTGAGATGAGAGTATCTTTCTTCCTATCATCATCCATCTTGCACCGCATGGATCGATGCCCCTGATCCTTCAGGCATGGATATCACCACCTCAAGGCTCATACCGAATGCATGGACAACTACATCAGATGTACCCCGTACTACTCTTAGACAACTCTATAGAGATACACATCTATCTGGTCGAATCTGGCAGGAGTTGAATTGTTGATCCCCATTGAAGCTGAGGATGAAGGTATTACCGCATTGGGACAGCCCCGAGAAAATCTGGATTAAGATCTACTCGGGCGGGTTGGCTGGGATGATACCAAGGGTCTGGATATACGAGTGGACATTTTAAGATTAATGATAATTATATAGATTATAAAAAACATATAAATCATATAAAATATATCAATTATAATCAAGGAATAAGTGGAAATGGATAGGTGGAAATAGAGGGGCAAATCAATGCAGATTAAATGAGTACCGATCAAAACCAAATCTAAAATCAAATAAAATGATATATTATAAATGAATGATAATCATAGTAAGCCAGAAGAAAAGAAATGGAACAAACAAAGAAGAAAGAAGAAAAGAATCAGTCTCTAGAAAATCCATATCATGATGACGAGGTCATCTCAGCTGTGGCTTGTCTATTATGTAGTATGTACGCCCTACCTTGCATGCACGATCCCCCTAATCCTATAGATTCGTCCACTCAACCGTTACCCACTATAGCCACCTGCCAGATATATTTTAGGAATTAGTGCAGCACACAGATACGAGAGACATGATGGCTAGAATCGTAGCCAAAGTTTAATGCGGAGGTGGCGATGTTCGACTAGTCCTAGACATATAGAACTAGATCTGATTTTACCTTTGCACCTTGCAGTGAGTGGTACTCCAGACCCAAACTATCTACCGAGGCGTCGAGTCTCTATACTCTGCCCAGGGATATATCCCGCCTTTGACACGGTAGTGCATTGGTCCAGGATGTTGACTGACTTTCTGGGTAACCTTCTTTTCCCAATTTCCATCATGGCCAAAAGTCAATTGCTCAAAAGCCACCTGGACTGGCAAAATCCTTGCATCATTCCTAGTATTAGTCCAGGGTCCGTTGGAGAATGTCGGTCCATGCCCTCCCGGGCTATGGTCATCACCAGATGGAGTAGGACCAACATCACACAAGGATTCACAACCCTCGCTCGCTGGACCACTCACTACCACACCTGACCTCCGGCTATTGCTCGCTGTGCGGATTAAATCCGGTCGTTGATGAGGGGGCTTCGAAAAAACAAAAAGCTAACAGCAGGCCTAATCCAAAATTGAATGTGATTGATGATTAGTTGATTCCAATTGGCCTTTTTTTTTTCTTTTCTGCTTTTTGTCTTCTTTCCCCTGTCACCCCCCATGTTCCTATTTTTATGTTTCCCTTTGTTCGCGGAGGGCTCGTTTCTCGGCTTCCATCAAATCAAGCCAAGTGAAACCGAGCCTGTGGCGGACAAAGGAACAGCAAGAGGCTTTGCGCTTCCTGTCCCCAGAACCACCCAGTTGGTTTCGCCCGCTTTTTTCAGGCGTCCAGAACCTCCAGATCCCTGAGGAGCCAGAACATCTCCCCATATCCCGACAGGGGTTGTGGTCATTCTGCAAGAAGGTGTTCCAAAGGACATGGGTTAGCGCCTGGTTGTTCGTCATTGACACCAAGCAACGCACGTACAGCCGCGCCGGTGGAAACGGGGTGATGACCACGACCTAGTGGGTGGTCTGGGTGGCCTGTACGCTGCAGACTATCACGGTAATGGGGGTCACCTCCGATTTAGTGGACACTAGTCAGTGGTCTGTGTGGGTTTTTTTTTTCCCTTTCGGCCGTCCTCGCGGTCTCGCACTATCTTTGTCAAAATCGCTGACGCCACTCGAGGGCCGGCGACACAGCGGCAGATATTTAGCTCCGTTCTGCTCAAATCCCGCGCTCGTGACCCGACATGTCGGTAGAAACTTGATGCTATGGGGCTGTTCCGAAAATATGAACCTTTTGGGAAAAAAAACCCCCACCCCTCCCCTCTCCTCTCGCCCCTCTCTCTCAGAAAGAAAAGAGGGAAAAGCGGATCACACCCCCTCGATTATTATGTGGCGACAATTCGACGGACACTAGGAGTCAATCCCTACATGTCCGTGAAGGCCATTCAACCGCAGACCAGGTGAGTCTGATACTCTCGACAAAAGTCCGGAAGAACAGTAGTATCCAAGGTACGATGAGGCATTGGGGGAGAAGACGAACCCCGCACGAACCAGAGATGGAAGGATCTCTGAACCAACGGCACCAATCAACTGGAAAGATGGCTGTTGGCGGCTCATCCCGAGCAAGTCCAATCCGCCTGGACCTGACTCGTGTCGTCAGAGACAGTTCGGAGTAGCTTGGAAAAGTATTCCGTGACCTCGACCGAGTAATATCTCCAGTATCTTACCCTGTTGATGCTGTACATACATAGCAGTAGAGTCTGTGAGCATCACGTGATCTATAAAGAGGATCAACCGTTGTTCCGGGTACCAAGATCAGCTGATCGGCGTGACAGCCTCAGGCACCACTGATAGCAGCGCCAGCGCTGACCGCCTTGCATCATAGGGCGGCAAGAAGCAGCTTATCATTCATCAGTGTCATTCGACCGGCCATCTTCACCTCCTCGACTGGTCAAACGACCTGCCTTGGACTCCTCATCTTGTTTTCTATCTGCTTATTTACTTGTCTTATTTACTTCTTCAGTTCCCTTCTTTTGTCTTCTATACTATACCTCTTTGACCTGGGGATCTAGATCTATTCATAGTTGTGCCGCCTGGTTCAGAGGAGAGTCGAGTTGTTGTTCCACATCGCTTGCCATCACATGGCCTGCTCTTGGACCCTCCTCTGAGTTTTGACTCGGACTATGGGTGAAGATTGCTACGTACTGATTCCTACTGTATGACTGTAGTCGCATCGGATTCTTTGAAGAACCTTCAAGATGATGGCCTCCAACATCCTATCACGGTTCCTCCCTCCGAACGGCTCACCCTCGGTATACGAGACCATCCGACAACACGATGCGGATTCCGATCTAGACGTGGAGGAACGAGGTGGATTAGAATTCGAGGATGGAGCGAGGCAACAATATACCGATCACGAGTTGGAGGAGGCCATGGCCGAGGCGGAGAGAGATGACATGCCCAGCGAAAGCGATGCGTTCCTGACACAAAGGAGCCCGCAAAGAACATCCAGGGGGGGGCCGCCGAAAGCGGGCTCTCGCCGTCGCAAACCCAGCCGACCACGGTGGATGCGAGGGGCCTCGCCACGGCATGACCCGGATGATGGGGATGACGATGTCCCGGCATCCCTGCTGGTGGAAGGGCACGATGACGATGACCTGAAGTCCCGACTACCGCCTCCACCCAGCCCCCATCACCTTCACGTACCAGAGCCCCTGGTCGGTGGGCCCTCGTCTCGGGATGACCGAGTTCACTGGGAATCTGCCCGAGAACGGTTGCCGATCCACGACGACCGGCGGAGACGTCGTCCGGGAGTGATCTGGTCTCAGGGCCTTCCAAATATGGCGACTGTAGACCCCAAAGAGAAGGCCCTATGGATGTGGGCCAACGTAGAAAACCTGGACAACTTCTTGAAAGACGTCTACTCGTATTTTACCGGGAATGGGATCTGGTCCATATTGCTGAACCGTTTTCTGAACCTCTTGTATGTGCTTCCCTGACTTCCCGATCAATAAAATTGCAAGGAGGCCGGTGGTCTAACAGATGGCAGAACCTTTGCGTTCATCGTGGGATTCGGGGTGTTCCTCACCAACTGCATCGATTATCGCGAGTTTCGGGGCAGTAGACGACTAGACGACATACTGATCCAGAAATGTACCAACAAGATGTCCATGTCGTCGACGTTTCTACTCTGGCTGTTGACACTATTCTGGATCGGCAAGGCATTTCAGTATCTCTTCGACATCCGACGATTAAAGCATATGCATGACTTTTTCCACTACTTGCTCGGGATCACGGATGCGGAAATCCAGACGATCTCGTGGCAGGAAGTCGTCAGCCGGCTGATGACCCTGCGCGACTCCAACCCAGCGACGGCTGGTACGGTGTCCGCCAAACACCGCAAGTACATCGGCAGTCAGTCGAAACAGCGCATGGACGCACACGACATTGCCAATCGGCTGATGCGCAAGGAGAATTATCTGATTGCACTGATCAACAAAGATATACTCGACCTCACTCTACCGATTCCGTTCTTCAGAAATCGCCCACTGTTCTCGAGGACGCTGGAATGGAACCTTAATCTCTGTGTGATGGACTACGTGTTCGATGAGCAGGGCCAGGTGCGGACTCTGTTCCTGAAGGACACCCATCGTAAGGCCTTGGGCGAGGGCCTGCGACGACGGTTCATCTTTGCGGGGATCATGAACGTCTTCGTCGCCCCGTTCATCATCGTCTATTTCATGATTCATTACTTTTTCCGCTACTTCAACGAGTACAAGAAGAACCCGTCTCGGATCGGATCTCGCCAATACACCGCGCTGGCCGAATGGAAGTTCCGTGAGTTCAACGAGCTGTGGCATCTGTTTGACCGCCGCATCAACATGTCCTATCCGTTCGCCAACCGTTATCTGGACCAGTTCCCCAAAGACAAGACCATCCAGGCGGCTGGGTTTGTGGCCTTCGTCGCGGGTGCCCTTGCATCTGTGCTGGCGCTGGCGTCACTGGTCGACCCGGAGTTGTTCCTGGGCTTTGAGATCACGCCGGATCGAACGGTGCTCTTCTATCTGGGTATCTTTGGGTCCGTCTGGGCCGTCGCCAACGGGTTGGTCCCTGAAGAGACCAACGTGTTCGATCCCGAGTTTGCTCTGTCGGAGGTGATCGAATTTACGCACTACTGCCCCAGCCACTGGAAAGGCCGGCTGCACAGCGACGACGTGCGCAAAGAGTTTGCCGCGTTATTCCAGATGAAGATCGTCAGCTTCGCGGAGGAGATCCTGAGTCTGATCTTCACGCCGTTTATTCTCTGGTTCAGCCTGCCCAAGTCCAGTGACCGCCTCATCGACTTTTTCCGGGAGTTCACGGTGCACGTGGACGGGATGGGGTATCTATGCTCCTTCGCGGTGTTCGACTTCAAGAAAGGCACCAACGCGATTCCCCAGGGACCTCCAGGGGTGCGAGGGGGGCCCGACCTTCGCGGGGACTACTATTCGACCAAGGACGGCAAGATGCTGGCGTCGTACTACGGGTTCTTAGACAATTACGGGGCCAATAATCGCGGCGGTCACCCAGCCACGCGACGCCAGTTTCACCCACCCCCGGCGTTCCCGACGCTGGGCACGCCGTCGATGGCCGACATGGGTCACTGGGGGGAGCGGCCGGACCCCGCGCGGATGCGCCACACGCCCCCCGGCGGTGCTCAGTCGTACCTGGGGCCGCGCGCGGGGCCCTCGGGGGTGGGTGACCACGCGTCCCCGGCGCCATCCGTTCTCCTCGACCCGCACCACCAGCCATCTGCGTCCGGGTTCCGGTCCTCCCACCGCCCTGGGGTCTATTCGCGGTATCGTCCCTCGCGCGCGGCGCCGACGGTGACCAGTCCCATCGAGGATGACGACGAATCCCTACCCGCGAGGGGCAGTGGAGGGTCTCCCCACCACGGGACTGGATCCAGCGGGGATGGGGTTGGCGCCAGCGGTAGCAATCTGGGGGAGTCATGGCGGGTGAACCTCATGGGAGAGGAAACGCACGAGGGGGACGAAGGGGAGGAAGTCGATGCGATCACCGGGGGGGCAGGGGTGTTGGGACTTATCCAGCAGTTCCAGAAGGTGAACAAAGACCACCGGGGACGGACGACCGTGGGTCTCTAATAGTTTATTATGAAATCGAACGATTATACCTCAATCTACCTTACATTCTTTTTTCGAGTGTTCATCTGGAGAGGGGAATGTTTGCCCTTGGCGCGTAAACAAAGCCAAATCCAACCAACCCCTGCCTTGACCAGACCAAACCAAGATCCAAAGGTTTGCACAGAAACTCAGGAAGAAAACTGCCAAAATAAAAAACCACCCTAATCCAACTCCATCAAGCAAAGTAGAGGTGAGCAAATGGTATGATGCATCACCAGGAACTAGACGAATAATGGAATATCATTCCTGCAGGAGGATCCACTCCTGGCAGCAACCCGGTTTGCAATTGGATCCATCCTTGTTGTCATAAATAGTCTCCATCTGATATACATCGTACATACATAGTATGGTACATACCATGCCAGATATACCTAAGCCTAATGGAGGAAGCGGTTTTGCGGTCTAGACGGGCTTGGCTGGGGGACTAGTTGGTTGTTGGGTCTTTCTTTTCTCTTCTTCTTTCTCACTTTGTTTTCTTCTCCTTCTTCATTTCACTTCTCTTCGTCTCTTTGTTTTGGTCTCTTGAGTCAGGCTGACTTTGTCTTTCTCTTTCTCTCTCGTTGACAGAGCTGGATTTTCCCCGCCATGCTCTATCTATCCTCAACCTACTGACTATTGATTGACTGAGGATCATTCCTATACTTAGGTAATGAGATAATAATAATAACCACATAGTGAGGATGCCATTCGGTTATGACTTCTACTCCAATCGTATCCAACTAACCCCTCTGTCTAGACGAACATCATGATTCGAGCCCGTCGCTACCGTATCCCACTGGTCTTAGCTACCGTCCTAATCCTGACCCTAATTCACTTTACGCGCTCTCGCGAACACCCGATTCCATATGATATTATTCGCGCTCCACCCTCGGCAAACACCAAGCGTTTTCCCTTCTCCCTACGTCCCCACGTCAACGCAAACAAGCTCCAGCAAGCCCCCTTGTCGCCCCAGGCCCCTCTCGCCCCTCCTCCCCCTCCTCCTCCACCGTCGCACGACTTCCAGTCCGGTCCTGGCCTGTCCCAACAACCAGAGGATCGCCCCAGCAAACTAGACACCGACACCGCCTCCGCGAAATCGCCCACAGAGCAGCACCCCGATGCTTCTCTCGCAGAGTCAGGCAAGGACAGGGATTCCTGGCCGAACGCCCCCGACACGGACCATGGCTCCTTCGCCAAAGGCCGACTAGAGGTTGAGGGACCCGAGTCGAACCGGCCAGCAGCACACTGGACAAAGCCGCGCGAGCACTTTCCACTCCCCGCAGAGGAGCTCATCAAGCTCCCAAGCGACCAACCACACCAACTCCCCAAACTACAAGCCACATTCAAAGACGAGTCGTCCCACGACAAGATGAAGCGCCTGCAGCGTCTGTCCCAAATCAAAGAGACCTTCGTGCACGCATGGAACGGGTACAAGGTCGCCGCTATGGGGCATGACGAAATCACCCCCGTCCGCGGGGGTTCCCGCGACCCGTTCAACGGCTGGGGCGCCACGCTGGTGGATACGCTTGACACGTTGTGGATTATGGACTTGCGCGAGGAGTTCGTCATTGCGGTGGATCGTGTCAAGATGATTGATTTTACGACGTGCAGGCGCAAGGATATCCCCATGTTTGAGACGGTTATTCGCTACTTGGGGGGTCTGCTGGGGGCGTACGATGTGTCGGAGCATCGGTATCCGGTGCTTCTGGATAAGGCTAAAGAGCTGGCGGAGATTCTAATCGGCGCGTTTGATACGCCAAATCGGATGCCGGCTCTTTTTTACAATTGGGCGCCGTAGGTATTTTCTGGAGCGATGAGATGAGTCCCTGTTGCTGATTAGATGTGTTTGTTTGCAGGAATTACACCTCCAAGCCGCACAGCGCAGATGCGAAGGCCGTACTGGCAGAGCTCGGCTCTCTGTCGGTGGAGTTCACGCGTCTGGCACAACTGACCAAGGAAGACAAGTACTACGACGCCATTGCGCGCATCACGAACGAACTGGAGAAAATGCAGGACTCAACGAAACTACCGGGTCTGTGGCCGATCAAGGTAGATGCCTCGGGGTGCAAGGCAGCCACAGCCAAGGCCCCGCTGGATCCAGAGCTCTCTACCCCCGACACAGGCTCTACCTCCGACACAGGCTCTACCTCAGACACAGGCTCTACCTCAGGTACAGGCGCAAAGCCGCTACCCTCGGACCTCGAAAGTTACACAGACTACTTCAAGTCGCATGACGCTTCCCGCACGGAGACACCAGGTCCCGATGCCGTACGACTAGAAAGCAGGGCGCTGCCAGAAGCGAACGCAGATGCAGACGGAGACACAATCTGCAAGGACGGGCTCCGCAGTCCGGCGACAGAGTTCGACACCTTCGGGATGGGAGCGCTAGCCGACTCGGCGTACGAGTACCTACCCAAGGAGCACATGCTGCTCGGCGGCCTGAACCCGCAGTATCAGACGATGTACGAAAAGGCTATGACAGCCGCGCGCAAGCACCTCGTCTTCCGGCCAATGGCCAAGGGCACGACCAACGTGCGCTTCCTAGCGTCAGTGAGCCTGTCGACGCCAGTTGCCCACGCTACACCAGACCAGATGAAGCACAAGTACGAGGGCACGCACCTGTCGTGCTTTGCAGGCGGCATGGTCGCCATCGGCGCAAAGCTGTTCGGCATTGACAGTGACATGGATCTCGCCCGCAAGCTGACGGACGGCTGCGTGTGGGCTTACCAGGCGACTAAGACTGGCATCATGCCGGAGCGATTCGACCTTGTCCCCTGCAAAGATCCGCAATCCTGCCCGTGGGACGAGACCGCTTATCACAAAGCGCTCGACCCCTACATGGAGCAGCGACTCGCCCGCCCGCCACCCTCGCAGAAGCAGCAGCAACAGCAACAACAAAAGGAAGGGCCAAAGAAGCCAGGCAGCGTCGGCTTGAGAAATAGCAAACGCTGGCACGTCGTCGCTCAGCCCAAACGCCGACCAACCGACATCCCAACCCACGAGTCACCCGAGTCATCATCATCATCATCCTCATCCGAGTCTTCATCACCCAAAGAAAGCTCAGAGGAACCACCATCCCACCAAGCATATGTATCCTCACGAATCACAAGCGAACACCTCCCACCCGGCGTAACGCGCATCACCTCCCGTCTCTACAAGCTTCGTCCCGAGGCGATCGAGTCCGTGTTTATCATGTTCCGACTAACGGGCGACGAGTACTGGCGCGAGCGCGGGTGGAAGATGTTCGAAGCCGTCTCTAAGATAACAAGAACGGGGATCGCGCACTCGGCGATCAGCGATGTCACCGTTACGGATCCGGTGCTACTGGATGAGATGGAGTCGTTTTGGTTGGCGGAGACACTGAAGTATTTCTATCTGCTGTTTTGTGATCCCGGGGTTGTGAGCTTGGATGATTATGTTTTGTATGTTCCATTCCCCTTCCCTGTGTTTCTTTTTCTTGTAGAGAGAAGGAATACAAGAAAAGAAAAGGGAAGGTTCAAAACTAATATCTCGCAGAAACACAGAAGCCCACCCCCTCAAACGACCCAGCTCAACGTCCTCATGAACCTTTCTTTCTTAGGTCTATCTCTTCTGACGGTGTTGAATCGCGAAATATCCGACCCTACCAACCATATCAACACCAACTAATTTACGCACATGATGTTTATTGCTTACTTACTTCTGATGATGAAAAGGATACGGATTGCTTATGAGCGGGTGGCTTTATTTTAATTCTTTTTCGGGCATTGTATGTACCTTGCATGGTAAATGACTGGGTTGGGGTGTATATTCTGTTCTATAAGGGTTGCTATGGTTTATTGCAATCGTATAGGACTTATTTTTTTCTTATTGATTCAATTACCTGGTGTGTACGCATGGATCTACTCAAAAGAAGAGGGAAGAGCAGGCGAGTGAGGCTAGAATGAATGAAGTAAGACGCAGACTACCAATGTACGTCATTGTCAAGTAGGGTTAGCGGTTTTCTCAGGGCTGACTGTCTGACAGCTGTGGGGTTTCCTCGCAATGCGCCGCCTTCTTTTTTGGGTTCTTTTCTACTTTCTTGTTTAATTGTTCCTTCTTGCTTGGTTGGGGTTTTTTGGAATCTTGAAATTCTGTCTGGGTCTTTTGGTTTGGGCTGTCTAATATGATCGAATGGTTCGTTATATAGGTGGAGAGTACTCCGGTGGTGATTGAGGGTTGAGTAATTGTCATGATAGGATTGTTAGAATGGTGGATATAATCGAGTCCCATCTCGATACCTACATCTACCTAGTATAATAGAGACTTGTAGTAGGATCTACCTACATATCAACATCAGGATCACAGGTTCCGAAGAAAATAGACAAGCTGGCCAACGACACTAACGACCGCCTGCATTAATGATTATAGCGGTTTGATCAAGCGAGCTGAGAGGCGGGGCGCGCCGATCTTGCGACTAACAGGAGACAGTACAGTACAGTATACCGTCAATCAGCCACGTCCGATGCTATGAATAGTTTGGAGAGGAGACCTTCAACTGGCTACTAGATAATGGCTATGCTAAATTGAAGGACGATTAAACAAGCGCTTGGATCCGTGTGGCTTGTCCGAGGACGTTCGTCTGTCTTTGTAGTGTCAATGAGATGAAAGTGGGCCTGCAGCTCGGGTCGAACCGTCTAAACCTGTTCAGATAATGTTCCATGATCGAGTCCAAATAAATCTCCTTTCTCCATTCTGCGTAAACTCGCTGTTTTCTTATTATACATCTCTCCTACTACTCACCTGTCCCCCTCTCTCCCTATCTTCCCCCTCCCAGGCCTCTCCTCAGGTCTCTCCTCCTGCTCTCTCACCTATTTCCCTGCCTGTGTTCTCATTATACTTTCTCTCTCTCTCTCTCTCTCTCTCTCTCTCTCTCTCTCTCTCTATATATATATTTTTTAAAAAAAATAGCTTTGAGCTAGTTTTCAGAAAACATGTCATAAATATCAAGAAAATTCTATAATAACGTGTTTAGACCCACTTGACATGAAAAGAAGAACCATCACATGACCTCTTGGTCAGACTTACCGAAGACTTTCACCTGAACTCTTGACCTACTTCCACCTCAGGAGTCAAGTGTACAAACTGATTTTCTTTATTTGGATTGACTAACTGCTTTGGATTACATCCCTGGTGGCGAACCCCTTGTGGCTGGAGTTACAGCTGAGCGTGGTTCAGACTAGTGCTGATCATGGTTGAGAAAATCACACTCAAATCCTGAACCACGCTGAACTCCCCGCCCACATACAATGTTGAGCATGATTCAGGAATCCAACCCTCTTGAAACTATATTCACACTACAAAGCATCCGTTCATAGCCCTGCAAAACAGTTATATAGCCCCTATGTCCAGTAGGGTCCAGTAGGTTCCAGTAATGTCCAGTAATGTCCAGTAAAGTCATTGGGGTTCTAGTAGGGCTCCATGAAAGGTTCTCTATAGGGTTTCTTGAGTGTTTTAGGCGCTCGACACGGGGTGCTTTAGAGACTACGCAGGCACTTTTAAAGGGGACAAAAGCTGCTGAGCGTGGTTTAGAGAGTAGGTCAATTTCTTAATCAGAAAGGTTACTTTGTGAATCATGCCAAGGGTTTTTCCAGCTCTGTTCTGAACCACGCTGGGCTGTAACCCCATGGCTACCCGCATGGATTGATGATGCCTGCTTCTTTGTCCGAGAGTGTATATTTAGGGAAACAATTATGAAGCTAGGCCTTCCCTCGCCCATCCCGCTCACGGCTTGGGTCCTTTCTATAGGCCTATCTCGACAAGCTGTTGGCCCTAGCCGGACTACTTGTTTTGGTGAAACGCTTTGATGCGAAATGTGACAAACCGAGTGCTTGTTCTTGTCTGTGATTGACTGGGTCCGTTCAGGTCGCGGGGCAAGCGAGAGTTGGGTATGGGGGCCATTTGTGGTCTTGCTTATTCTCGAGGCGCAGCCAGCCTTGTCCTGTGTTAGCCCCATGGTATTTATTTTGTACTTTTTTCGGCCGTTGAGGCCAACCTTTAGGGGCGGCCTTGCATAGGTAGATAGTTATAAATATCTTTTTGTCTCCCGTGGTTGGGCTTGTGCACTTACTCAACTTCATCATTCCATCCAATCTCCGGAGATCAATCAACCGATCAAGGAAGACTATTATACAATATGCACCTCTCGAACCTCATTCTCCTCCCCCTCGCCCTCCTCCCCCTAGTCACCGCAGACTCCGACTCAGGCGAAGGATCATGGTCCATCCGAGGATATAAGACTAAGGAAGACGATGCCAAACCCCCTAAGCCCGATCAATACGAAGACCTTGCCAGCGGCCGCAACGTTATCGAATGCGGCGACCTGTCCAACGGCGACGAACTTCGTTTTATCAAGGGCAATCCGGGAGATTTTGTTGTCACTGTTTACCGGGGTCCCACGGAGGGCGAGGACAAGAGGTGCTCGGGGGAGGGGGCGACTGTTCAGCCTGGAAAAGTCTATGAGGGACCATTTAAGCAATACGAGGTTTGTTCTCTTCTTTCTCTCTCCCTTATATCTTCTCTCTCCTTCCCTAGATCTTGTTAGATAAATTCTCACCAATCTTGATTATAGGTGCAGTTCATTCCGATAAAGAAGCGGAGTGAGAAGGCGCTGAGAAGTTGAGTTGCCTGATGGATTGTTTGATACTGGTCCTTTCTTCACATTATGTCTCCCTGGTTGGTTCGCGGTGCTGGACACGCTTCCTCTGGGGATGTCATGTTTATGTATCCTAATCCCATGTCGTAGGGCTTCTTGATTTCTTGGATATATGGGTGGGCGATGGCACATCAGGGTTGGTCCTTTCGGGAGGGACACCCTCTATGTGGCTTATCTTCTTATCACTCCTTCCTCAAGCACAAAGCAATGCTTTCCAGATTGCTCTTTCCATAGAGGGGAAGGAAAAAAGACCGCACTTGCCATTAGCATGATTAAATCTGATTGACAAGGCAGTGACGATCAGACTTGGTGGTTTCAATAGAATAGCTGCGACATAGATAGGCACCTGCAGGCCGTCCGTAAGTCTTCATTGAACAGGTGAAGTAGACTGGGTCCTCCAACCTCATCATCCACCTTGTCTTGCCCTAAGCACACCACTATGGAGACGCATCATTATTCCGTTATCATCGTCGGTGCTGGCATCGCTGGTATCAACGCAGCCTACCGGCTCCAGTCTGAGCTGCCAGATCACCCGTACGTCATCCTTGAGGCCCGCAGCGCCATCGGGGGCACCTGGGATCTGTTCCGCTACCCGGGTGTGCGCTCGGACTCGGACCTCTTCACTTTTGGCTTCTCGTGGTTCCCCTGGGACGAATTTAACCCCATTGCGGACGGGGAGTCCATTGCAGGCTATATCCGTCGTGCGGCCGCTCACTATGACATCGACCGCCATGTCGTGTTCCGGCATCGGGTACTTTCCTATCATTGGTCTTCCACCGAGAATCTCTGGACGCTCTTGGTGGACCACCAGGGCCAACTAGTTCTGTACATCACGCGGTTCATCATCCTGGGCACCGGGTACTACGACTATGACAAACCGCTGGATTCTCCCATTCCCGGCCTGGATCGGTTTGAGCGCCAGGTCGTCCACCCGCAGTTTTGGCCTGCGAACCTGGACTACGAGGGTAAACGGATTGTCATCATCGGTAGTGGCGCTACGGCTGTAACGCTGTTGCCTCGTCTGGTGGAGAAAGCAGCCAAGGTCACGATGTTGCAGCGCAGTCCGACATATATCTTGCCCATGGTAAACAAGAATACACGTACTACCGTGGACGCCTTGTTCCCTCCCCGAGTGGCTCACAGAATCAAACGTGCTCGATGGATCATCACCTCGCGTCTGACGGTGCTCTTCTGCCAGACGTTTCCCCGCTTTACGCGCTGGCTGTTCCGGTTGATCGTTTCGAACAGGATCCCGCCACAGATCCCCTGCAGTCCGCACTTTGATCCCAAGTACAATCCCTGGGAGCAGCGGCTATGCATCTGTCCGGACGGAGACTTCTTTGCCAGCTTGCATACGGGCCGTGCGGATGTCGAGACGGGCACGATCCGGGAGGTGGTCGCCGACGGTATCATCCTAGACTCCGAGAAGAAGCTGGAGGCGGATATGATTGTGACAGCCACGGGCATGCGGTTGCAGATGGCGGGGGGTGCGTCATTTTATGTTGATGACGAGAAATACCCTTTGCCGGAGAAGTACACGTGGAACGGGGTGATGTTGCAGGATCTCCCGAATATGGCCATGCTTACCGGATACACCAACGCTTCGTGGACGCTCGGGGTTGACGCCAAAATGCGTCTGATCTGTCGTCTGCTGCGATCGATGGCAGACCACCAGCATTCCATGGCCGTGCCTCGGGTGCCGGGCGGTTCTAAGCTAGAGGAGAAGCAGCTGTTGGACCTGAAATCGACGTACATAGTCAAGGGGGCAGAGATCTTGCCTCGCGCGGCAAAGCAGAGACCCTGGTGCCCACATGACAATTATCTGTCTGAATGGTTGTTTGCCAAGTATGGAAGCCTTGAAGAAGGACTGGAGGTGACTTGACTTGGGGGCTCCTTTGTAGAGACCTGAGTGGGTGGATCATGGCCACATCCCATTGACTGCTGTATTTTTACCCCTATCCATTAACCAATACAGTCAGATTCAAAACCTGCGCCATCATAGAGCGATTAACTGGTCGTCCCTCTTGGTAGAGCGGCGGGTATGTAAAAGGTAGCGGTGTCTTGTCTGCCGTCCTTTTCAATCCCTCGCAAATAGGATCACATCATGTCACCTGTGTAGAATACAGGAACAACAAACTCAACAGGTGTACAGGTATCATTGTCAAAAGAAGTGGAGGAAGACGAGAAGAAGAAGTAAATAGATGGAGAGTATAGACGGATGAGGCTACACCGATCGGGTTAGTGTGGGTCGAGCGACTCCCGCTTGATTTGTTATGGTGCTTTGGTCACTACATCATCATCATCATCTTCTTCGGCTTCACCTTCATCTCCCCTCCTCCCTCTTCTTTCCCTTCTCCTCCTGGTCTAACTACCCCCCTCCAGTCCTCCTCTCCTGCAACCTCTGGTCAGGCACATCCCGGGATGAGTGTCACGGTCCAACTCATCCGACGACGAAGACGCCGATCGACCGTGGGCAATGGAGATGGTGGTCGACTCCGAACACCAGTTCTGGGATGGTCAGTCCAATTAACAAACGATCCACATGCCCTTCCTTGCTTCTTCTGTCTCTTCTACTGGGATTCTACCTTGTTTGCTTAGATCTTCATGCAGAAGCTGACTGGCGCAGAAATCCAAGAGATTGTTTCCACCCCTTGCTCCTCCGAAGACAGCATCGACGATGCCCTGCGGACTTATCTGAGTCTGGCTGCCCATTACAGAGGTCCGTCCTTCTTTCATATCGTTCGCGGCTCGATGATATTCTCGTTCCTCTCGTCGAATTCTCCCCTGACCACCTTCAGATGAATATCTCCACTCCGCGCTGGCCGTTTCGCGCTGTTCCTACAAGCTACTCACGTCGAGCATCTTCGCTCACCATGGCGACTATGTGCGCCGACAGATGATCTATGGCCTCTTGCAGGTACGGCCAGCGACAGCCAATTCCTCCTGCACGAACCGAACCGCCTTGTGCTGACAAGTTGATGCTTTACCAGGACGACGACCCGAACACCCTTCTCCTGATCGCATCGTATCTTCTCTTCGACGGCCAGCAGAATGAGATCGTCTTCCGCATGATGAATGAGGAGTGCGCTTTTCCGCGATTGGTGGAACTTCTTCAGGCGCAGAATAAGGCTATAGGTGACGATGGAGCTGGGCTCCATCGACTCCTGATGGACTTGCTGTATGAAATGTCCCGCATTCAGCGCATCAAGGTGGAAGACCTGGGTAGGTACCTTGGTTGATTACGGCGGTGGGAGATGATAATTAACAAGGTGGTAGTACTCGTGGACGACGACTTCATCAAGAGTCTCTTCAACATCATCGAAAATCTCTCGTACGATGTCAACGATCCGTACCACTATCCGGTCATTCGTGTTCTGGTAAGTGTTGACAGGCAGTCCGGTGCGCTTGGTGCAGAGGCTCATTGTGCAGTTGGTGCTGAACGAGCAATTCATGATCTCGGCCCACGATCCTATCAGCGAACGGTCGTCGACCACCTTGACCAACCGAGTGATCAAAGTCCTGTCTATGAACGGCAACCTCTACAAAACCTTTGGCGAGAACATCATCCTCCTCATTAATCGAGAAGGTATGTCCCCGGTCTCCTGGTTGACTTCCTCCAAGCAAGGTTCTAACAGCCCCAGCCGAAACCTCTCTTCAGCTTTTGACCCTCAAACTCCTCTACCTAATATTCACGACCCCCAGCACATACGAATACTTTTATACAAATGATCTTCACGTCCTCGTGGACATTCTCATCCGCAACCTGCTGGACCTCCCCGAGGAGGCGGCGGCGCTGCGACACACCTACCTCCGCGTGCTGTACCCTTTGCTGGCGCATACCCAACTGAGAAACCCCCCGTTCTACAAGCGGGACGAACTTCACAGGATGCTCAGCATCCTAGTCAGGGGCCAGCTGCCCACCACCGCGGGCGAGGTCGACCACGAGAAGATCATGCACTTCGATGAGGTGGACGAGACCACACGGCGGCTCGTTGCGCGTTGCGCCACGGTCGACTGGCTTCGCGAGACGGACGAGGCTCAGAAGCAGGCGGCACAGAGGAAAGACTCCGTCCCAGACACGAGCGAGATCGGCACACCGCTGGAACCTTCGCAAACTTACTCGTCAAGCGGCAGTTCATCCGACGCCCAATCTCCAACGCGACCCAACGCACTGTCGACGCCGTACGCGGAGCGCAAGCCTAGCCAGGCGCAGCGGCTTGGCATGCAGTTGGAGCAAGGCTCGTCCTCGTCCCTTAGCGTCCAAGAGGTGGCCACGCAGCACGAGAAACCGGGCATCATCACCCCGAGCCGCAACGACAATTACGGCCCCGAAAAGCGGCCCACTCACACCGTCGTCAAGCCCAAGGTCAAGCCCCTCCCGCCCAAAGCACGACGCTGGCGCGGACGACGAACCCACGTCGAAGACGAAGACGGCGCCAACGCCCACCGCATCCCGGAGGAATCACCCATCCCTCCCAGCCCCATTACCCCGGCATCCCCGTCCCCATTTCCCAGCGCGCACCTACACGCCCACGGAGATCGCCGGTACTCCGCGGCAAGTACCCTGGCGCCGCCGCCCGTGCCAGCGCACGCCCGCCGCTCGGCCTCTAATCCCCCGCCTGCGGTGCCGCCCCCGCGCCGATCCGCGCATCCAGCCGTGCAACACTTCTCCAGCCACTGCACGCCCGTGACGAGCCCCTCGCGGCAGCAACATAGCCTCCCGCCGACGCCGTCCACGCCCGGCAAACACGGGCAGAAGCCCGAGCCGCCCAAGACGCGCAGATGGCGAGCAGGCAGCATCCGACAGGACGGGGCGGACAGCCCAACAACGCCGAACAACACCCATCCTCCCGAAGAAGCAAAAGTCAGTGTGGAGGAAGCGGTGCAGAGTGTGTCTATCAACGATGGAGCTGGACGTTGACATGCAGAACGCATCCATCTTATAACACACCGCATAACGGCGCGCTTGCTTTCTTGCTGGGTTTTGCTTATCTTCCTGATCAATAGTAATTATTCATTTTTTCTTGCATCGGTGGGTTATCATCATTATTATCATTATTATTCATTTACTTGGCATAGCTAGGCATTACTCTTACTTGCTTCTATCTTCTACTTTCTTTCCTTCATCTTTAGTCTAGACCAGGTCGATAATCAGACTACGTACTTCATCTACTCTTATACTACAGATATCAAGTCATAGATAGAACCATGATCAGTCAGCCAGCCACTGTACAAGGCTAATAATTCATCTCTCAAGTCAAGTCAAGTAAAGAACTAAACTAAATACATGAACGAGAATGCCGAAACTAGGCACAGAAGAAGGTAAAGTAAGGTACAGTAAAATCACAGCTTTTATCCTTCTTTCTTTCTCTCCCCTCAAGAAGGATCAAAGAAGGAAACAGAGAAGAAGAGGAGGAACAAGAAGAAGAAAGGAGACTACAACCCATGGATCCCCCAAAACCTCTCCGCCCCAAACGTGCCCTCCCCATCCTTCTTCCAAGCATCATCAAACGCCGAGAACAGAACCAAATCCGCCGGATTCCCCCGAAAGCTCTCCCTAAGGCTCTGCACAGCGGCCCTATTATTCTCCACAGAAGGCACAGCCTTCCCATTCGCCTGCCCAGCATGTGGCCACCCAGACTCGGTAATCACAACGCGCTTCCCGTCCGCCTTGCGCGAGATCTCCCCCGCCTTACCAGCGACGTAGGCGCCCGCGCCAGCCGCCGACTGCGTTGCGTCGAAGAACGCGTGGCAGTTCGCCGCGCAGTAGTCGGACGCGGTGCACAGCTCGGGATGCGCGAGGAGCATGGTGAAGGTGTCGACTGTTACGATGGGGCCTTGGTAGCCGGCGGGGCGAAGCGTGTCGCGCGCTTGCTGTAGGGCTTGGACCATTTGTTGGGGGGTGGCTTGGCCGCGGTTGACGAGCTCGTTGCCGATGGAGATGGTGTGGATTGTGGACCAGTCGGATGAGGCGGCCTTGATGATGGTTTGGAGGCTGGAGGCGTAGTCTTGGAGGTCGTAGATGCCTGCGAAGACCTGCATGTTGTGTTTCCGTGCGGCGGTGGTTACTGTGTGTGTTTGGTCGCAGTCGACGCCGTAGATGCGGACGAAGGCGTATTGGGGCTGGATGCGCGCGATGTCGGCGTTGACTTGGGATTGCGTCTTGCAGGTCCCGTCGGCGTTGTAGGGGCTGTAGGAGATGCCGTGGGGGACGCGGGCGTCGGTGTTGGGTTCGGTCTCCTCTGGTTTAGGTTCGGGTTTGGGGTCGGGTTTGGGGTCGGGTTTGGGGTCGGGTTTGGGCTCCGGTTTAGGGTCGGGCTCGGGCTTCGGCTGGAATTGAGACAAGAGCTGTTTTATTCCTGTTAGATAAATACGGTTCTTGTGCCGAGGGCGAAAAGGAACTTACGCCATTGGCAGCATCCGTCACGTATTTGATAGGCTTGCCAGCCTCATCGACCAGCACAATCACAGTATCGAAAGGCCCATCTCTGGCGACAACGCGAGGAAGCGCAGCCACCTGGATGCTGAGCAGGAGCACAGCCAGAAGGAGAATAATGCACTTCATTGTTGATCTGTCCGGGGCTGGAGTCAATCCAGGTTGAGATCGTGCACAATGGGTTCTTGATAGTAAGCTCTCCAAGCTTGCACAGACGCGTTCTGTTGACTGGACAGGTCGATATGGAGATTGACAATCTTTAGGAAGAAGACACGATCATAAAGAAGTTATAGAGAAAGAATAAAGTGTGGGGAATTTCCCCAGCAAGGGAACCCAGGAAACACCATCCTCCCAGGACCCCATCCATCCATTCCAGCCCTGTCTGATCCCAGTGAATGCTCCATCCCAGGTACCCGGTGTGTCCAGCACAGGCCCCTGTGTAATTCACCGCGAAGTATGTGGAGGGAGCGAGAATCCACGAGCGTGCCCTCTTACCCTATTTACCCGGCGGGCAGCATTCACAGTGCCCATAGCCCATACCTAGGTGAAACCGTGAAACCCCCTGTGTTCATATTAGAGGAATGTCCCTGCCCTCTTCACTCATCTCACCCCACCCGTGTAATTTCTTCAAATTGTGCAGACTGAATCAGGGGGTCCTTTTTTATTTCCTGGATTGACGTCAGCTTTCTTGCATTCTGTTGGGTGGGAGGGACAGTTAACTAGGTAGTTTTCTGTCTTGGTGATTGTTGTTGGCCTGTTGTCCCAGGCGCCAAGGAGTCACTGTCCATCCCTTTCTCCCCTCCAATTCACCCCCAATTTCTATCGTCATCCCTGGTAATATCACTGTCAAGAAAGGATAAAAATTCATATTAAACAAAATATTCTCTAATAATGTGCAGTACAGAATAAGTTCGACGAATTAATCAATCGTCAACCGGAAAGTTAACCTGCGGCAGGTGACCGCTTTGTTTTTCTCTGCTGTCAATGCAGTCCGAACATGGCTGCCCATCCTCGGGGAGTAAACGGCATCCTGGTGGGTAAGACGACCACATGGGGAGCTGTGCTTACAGCAGGGTCGGAGGGAAATTGTACAAGGGACGAAGGGAGGTGTTTAGTTTAGGAAATAGGGAGATATGAGGGGCGGCAACAAGCGTCATCGGAGCATGAGTCTTCGTGGTCGAATCTTCCGGTAGATCCAAGGCGTATGCAGCGTTTATTTCTTTTTGCTAAGAACCTTGGTGACGGCATGGCGGATCGTCGTCCCGGCTTTCTCGATTTCCTTCTTTGTTAAGCCGGTCGTCACGCACACTTTCAATGCCGGTGGGATGAACTGCTTGGGTTCAAAGTTGTCCTGGAGGGTCTTCAAACGGGTGATGAGGACGCCGTTTGCAAGGCACTGCATCGAGTTGTTAGACACAGGACAGGAAAGAAGGAAAACGAAAAACAAAGAGTGATGAACGTACCTCGTCGACAACATCTTGCAGCAGAAACTGCTGATCATCAATGGAAAGCTTCTTAGCAGAAACCACCTCCGGCTTGATAACGAGCAGCAAAATCGGGTTCTCCGGCGCGCTCATGCAGTACACCCAATCGCTCCGAGGGTCCAGCTGAGCCCGAAGCGTCTTAGTATACTCGCGCAGCTGGGACACGGTCTCGGGACTGTTCTGGAGCATGTTGATCGTGGCGCTGGCGGTAGTCGACAGGAGCGCCGGCAGAGCGGCGGAGAAAGTGTACGCGGCCGCGGAAATGCGCTGATGGTGGACAATCTCCTCCGAACCGGCGCAGAAGCCACCTCCCGCGATCAACGGGCCGGCCAGCGAGCCCACGATCATGTCAACCTCCGCCGCGTCCACGTTCTGATGCTCCGTCACGCCCCGTCCGGTTCTTCCAAGGACGCCAAACGACCACGACTCGTCCAGGATAAGTCGAAACTTGTACTTGAGTTTCAGCTCGATCTAAACTCCACAGTCAGCTCTGTCCTGGCCATTCCCACGGCGAATGAAGCTGAGGGGAAACACACGATCTTAGGCAAGTCGACCAAGTCGCCGTACGACTCAAACAGGCCTTCAGTGATGATGAACCGCCGGGTGAGAGGCTTGCGGGCCTGCTCCTTGGTGACCTTGGCGAGGACCCTCTCCAGATCCTCCATGTCATTGTGCTCATACCACCGAACGATGCTGCGAGAAATCTGGATACCCTTCCGGATCGCAAAGCTAACACCCTTATCCGCCACGATGATATCCCCACGCTTGGAGAACGCCGGGATAACACTGGAGATAGTCGAGAAAGCCTGGGCGTAGATGATACAATCAGGAACCCCAAGGAACGACGCCACATCTGCCTCCGTCTTCATATGGACGTCCTGGGTACCGTAGAAACCGCGGGGACCACAAGGGCCAACGCCATAGTTGCGGAGCGTCTGAATAGCCTTTTCCTTGAGCGATTCGTTCGTATTAAAGTTGTAGAAGTTGTAAGAGCCGAGATTCGTAACCGTCCGGCCGTTAGACAATTTCGACTTGGGACCGACGGGCCTATTCCGGGATTCCGACAACGTCAGCATACAGCCAGCCCGCGTTTCGTGACAACGACGAAGCAACACATGGATATAGATAGTCCTACCCGACAATCACGGTCCGTTTATCCACCTCCATCTCCTCCAGCGCACTCGGCTTCCCGACCAGGGGTTCCGGCGTCCACTCGTCCACCAAATCGTCGATCTCATCCTCGGAGAGCTGGACTACGCCAGGCTTGGTCGAATACTTGGGGGCCAGGAGATAGCGAACGGCAAAGAGGAACAGGAACAACTCGACGGCGGATCGGATCGGATCATTCTGATAACTCGACTTGACGTAGCGCAGGAAAATGGCTGAACCGGGGAGCCGGTGGAAGAGATTGGAGAGTTCGTGCAGGTACTCCGACAAAAGACGCTGGGTCTCCTGGATGTCCATGGCGGGCAGTGTGCACGCAGCGGCGCCCAGACCGGGAGGGGGTTAAATTCAGAGAGCGATAAATTGGATCACCAGAGAGATTATCAGGATACCATGAGAAGTGAAGAAAGGAGAGACGGTCAAAAAATGAGAGTTGCAGCAAGAGAAGTAGACGTGCCGGACGGAATGGACACGGAGAAGGTCGAGGCACCAGCGATCGTTTTCCGGATCCTCGCGTGGTGGCACGTGACCCTTCCCCCCTACGCCCTTACAGTCAAGTGTTGGACAGGCGTTCATTTTTTGATCTCTACGTTTGTTCTGCTGCATGGTGTTTTTTACTGCCATGATTTGACCTTAGTTGCTTCAGGCGCGACTACAGGGGTGTCCGATCGGGCCAAACGGGCCTCGGCTCAGGATTTACAAGAAGATCATCTTTGAAAGGACTGCCATAAACAAAAGAGAACAAGAAGAATTTGCAAGTCTAATAATCACATACATGAGGGACAGTAACACACGACACCTGGAGAATACAACAGCTAACAAAGATCGCACCCATTAATGTTGGCGACGGCAAAGAGCCGTGCGCTCAGATAAGACAAGAAAGAGAACACGCGACAAATGTATGGGACGCAGCAACAACGTCAGGGCGCTGGTTACTTTATACAGCTCATTTCCATAATTCCATTTCTGAAGATGGCGGGACAAGAAAAAGAAGAAAAAAAGAAGGAATGCAGCAAAATGCGGTGCTAACGTGAAGGGAAGGAACGGACCAGCCTCTATGACGGAGGGCTGGGCTTCCAGGCCTTGAATCCTAACGGAAGATGGCTACCCGTGTAGCTAGCAACAGTGTCATTGTTGTTCGCATCCAAGGGTTGCAAAAGTTGCATCGGCACCTCTGGCAGGTTCAGACCTTTGATAGTACGGGCGACCAGCGGCGCGATGATGAGCACAAGGAAGAGGACAAGCATGACAAAGTAGAGGATAGCAAAACGGATAACTCTCCGCTTTCGTAGCTTGGACTGTTTGAGGGAGTAGATCGGGGGTCGGATTTGACGACTGGCTGGCATTAGCACTAGTGCTCGTGGAACATGGAAAAAGTAGAAACGTACCTTGGTCGCAGCCAGAAAAGAATGACGGAATGGAACTTGTCGATGTAAGGAACGCAGAGAGCGGGCAGCATGATGAATAGGATCAGATGTCCCAGCACAAAGTCCGCAGAGAAATAACCCAGTTCCGTGATCTTGCACAGGAACTCGCGGCCCGGCTGAGACATGGAGTGCCAGCCCATGCTATACCACTTACCGGTCCACCACGCGATGTTGGACTGATCATGCTTGAACTCACGGGTCAAGGCAAGAGCCACGATCAGCTTGTAGATGAACCGCTGAATGGCAGCCATGGAGATCATTCCCATCAACATACGAGGCCAGGACCACTGTTCGAGAAAGAACATAACTTCGAAGATAGCAAGGAGAATGATAACAGAGACGGCGTGGGCAATGGCAGCCAAAACAGAACCAAACTTCTTGCAGCACATGCTCAGGAGCGGGCCCATACAGCACGCCATGGCGAAGAAAACGCCGGCGACACCGGCGTTGATCGCAATCGGTCCAAAGGCGCAAATCGCGATACGAATAAGGGCATTGTACGCCTTGTCTTTGTTGTTTGTGACGCCAGTTCGAGAGTTGATGTACAGGAACGGAACGAGTGTGACAGCAACCTGGACCAAAGGCACGAGAATCTCCGCGAAGAAGATATTCGAGATACGGGCCCTGGGGACATCACCAGACCCCTTCTCGGAGGGGACACCCAGAAGCTTGCGCTTATAGCCTGTGATACGGGTACGGGACAAGCGGCAGAAACCGATCCAGGACGAGGCGTGGGAACGAGAGTTACCACGCGAGAGCCAACGCAGGTAGTCACGGTAGTCAATAAAGAAGTCGTTCCAGGCGAACTGGTGAGGGTTGAACAGGAAGGGCGAAATGCACAACGCAAGAAGCGACACCCAGAACCAAATGAGAGACGCAGTCCAGACGGTGGAAGTGGCGAACAGCAGCATCAGGAGCGAGCGAGCGCCCGCGTAGATCGAAGGGCCCGCAAAACGCGAGTACAAGATGCCGAACGGAATACGCGCCGTGGCAAACCCACGCCCAGTACCAATGTAGCGGGCACCACCGAACGACAAGTTCTGGTGCACCGCATTGGCGTAGATCTGACACACGAACACCTCGAACATGAAAGAGAAGGAACCGAAGTGCTTGGCCAAACGGGTTGCCATGCGCCAGACACCTCGCTCCGTCAATTCCTGGACGGCTAGGGGCACGAACGAAATGAAGAACACGATGAAGATGGAGATAATACAGCGATTGACCCAGTCCACGACAGGTACGAGGTTGGCACAGAACGT